CATTCGTTTGCCTTTATTAAATGATATTGTAATAATTGATTGTATTTATAAGTTATTATTTGTTTCTTCTTTAATAGCCTAAATACCATGAATCTAGCTGCAACTAATCATACATATTAAGGCAAACAATTCACTTTTTTCAAATATGAATTTTTATTTAAAGTTTGATTATTTATTTATTCATTTATTTTAAACTTAATAAAGAGCTATAACTGATTTGGTTGGACTTGTTTATTTATAGTTTATAATCAGAAAGTAATAATTAAAAAAAAGACATACTCTCTCATGTCTCAATACAATAGTCTTGTTTATCATTTTTGTTCGTTCCAAAACAATAATCTCATTTTCATAAATAATCATATCACCGTAAAATTATCCATACATTATTATTATTATTACACAATTGTTATTATTTTTTACACTAATATACTCATAAAGACAAAAATATTTATTCATATTTTTTACCAATCATCAATATAATATCAATATTTTTTAAATTTCGTATATAACCCAATAAGAGTATATTTTTGGGACACAGAAAGTATTTAGTTTAATATATGAAATTCAGGTGGTGCCTGGCTGCAGCCATTTCATGAATTTATGAAGCATTAATTGCGTCCATAATTAAACGTAGCCCACTTTTTGAATCATTTATTGCCGAAATTTTCCTACATTAAAGTATCAATTTTTCATGTGTAATAATGGCTGGAATTGTTAAAAATTTTTGCCAAAAATTTCCCATCATATCATTTCTTATTTTACTTTTTTTTTTTTTTAAAAAAAACATTATTATTTATAATTGATATATATATATATTTTAAATTTAGTAAATATAATCTCATATAGCAATAATCTATCAATTGTATTTTAAATAATATTTTAATTAATATACATCATTTACAGGGACGTATTAGTTACTTATTTTCAGTGTCGGCTTTTTCTCCACAAAAATATAATAATAATTATAATAATTTACATGTCTCTTTTGAGATACACATCAAGACTCATGTGAATGAAGTGCCAATAAAGCCACTTTATAATTTTCCGGACAATTCACCACAAATTTTTTCATAGCAAAAACTATTATTATTGTTGTTGTTATAATAATAATAATAGTATATACTATTATTATTATTATTATTATTATTATTATTATTATTTTGCTTTCTCGTGACATGGGGAGATTAACGTCCTCTCATTTCCCCAAAAGGGATGTAAGGAAAAGTAAAAAACTTCTATATATACACATACAAGAGCTATCGAAATATCTTGTGTTATTTTGGACTTTATTTTTAGGGTAAATTATTTTTTTAGTTCCATAACTAAACCTCTTTATCATTTTAGTCTCGTAAGTGGAGCATGTCGCAAACTAGTCCCATAAGTGAAATTTTTTTGCTGTTTTAGTCCTCCGGCGCCGGAGACGCCCGCGTGGCTCGCCGGAGGTGACGTGTCCACCAGGTCAGCGACACCTGGCGCTGACCTGGCGGACACGTGGATTTTTTTATTTTATTTTTTATTTTTTTATTTTTTTTAATTTATTTTTAATTTTTTAATTTGATTTACTTTAAAAAAATAAAAAAAAATTGAAAAAAAAATAAATTCACGTGTCTGCCAGGTGTTGCTGACCTGGCGGGACACCTGGCGGACACGTCACCTCCGGCGAGCCACGCGGGCGTCTCCGGCGCCGGAGGACTAAAACAGCGAAAATTTTTCACTTATGGGACTAGTTTGCGACAGGCTCCACTTATGGGACTAAAATGATAAGGGGGTCCAGTTACGGGACTAAAAAAACAGTTTACCCTTATTTTTATTATTTGAGTTGAATGTTAGTTTGTATTATCTCCGTCCGTTATATTTAGCCTCGACACATAAATTAAAAAAAATATATTTTATTGAAAAAATTGGAAAAAATAAAGTTGATGGTAGTTTTAGAAATTTAGTTAATAATTTTTTAAAAATAAAGAGAGAATGTAATAAAGTTATTAGTGATATTCACGATAAATAAGTGTTGAATGAACGGTAATAATTAAATATAGATTTTTAATTTTTTCAAATATAATAACGAGGTAAATTTAACGGACGGATAAAAAAGAATTGATGAACGGAAAAAGTATATAATATTTTGTGAGAATAAACAATATATTTTTATAAAAATATATTAGATAAAAATACTTACAATATATAATATGCTTTGGGTGTGTTTATTTTATAAGATGAGACTATAATATTATTTCAATATATTATATAATCACCAGATTAATTAATATCATATTTGTTTTGTTTAATTAAATATAGAATAATATAGATTGTTAGATGCTATAAATGACAATTACACCTAAAAGTTTAGCGGTTATTTACATCATCTAATATGGTATCAGAATATTATGTCTCGAATTTGAGTTTTACCATCCCTCATTTGTCGTCGTTCACGTACAAGTTTTGCTTGGTGGAGTTTATTCCTTTTTAAATGCGACAATCATTTACATTATGTAACATGAACTTAAATATAAATTTTATTTGAAATAAATTAATTCCACCTATACCTTGATTAATTATTCATAATTAATGTATTATTATAACAAATTTAAACAATTTCGGATTTTAATCAATTAAAGTAAATAAGTGATTAAAATTAAGAAAATAATATCATCCAACTTAATTACACTATAAGAAATTATCAATTTTGTAACGAGATTTTTTCGTTCCTAAATTCACTTTTTTTGTTACTAATGATATTAGAGACGGAATTAGAGATGAAATCATGTTAACTACGTGAACTTTAGTAACGAAATTTCGTTATAAATATACAATTTTTTTATTTTTTTTTGTAGTGTACTGTGAGTAAAACACACCCTTTTTGTTTCAATTCACCCGCTAATTTTACTTTTGGAACAATTTCTAGTTAATACTTGTTTTGTTTCATCCAAATGTATCAATTTGTCATATTCTTTAGTCCCATATATATATATATATATATTTATTTATTTTTATTATAGTAAAAATAATTTTATAAGTTGATACCAAAATATTTTTTTTAAATAATTTTTATTTCAAATAAAAACTTATAGTATTAAGTTAATTCATACAATTTTCAATACAAAATACTATTGAAAATAAATCTCAAATCAATATTTCAAACTGAAATTAAAAACCAAACAAACCCTCAATATTCATATAAATTACAAAAATATCACCAACACTTAAAACATTTAATACTTTTATATTTGATTCAAATTCGTATTGACAAAGGTTTACTAGCTAAGAAGGCTATGACTTTTTTTTCCTCAAAATTTTAACAAAAAAAAAACTAAAATATCAAAAAACGTATATATATATATATATATATATGGACGGATCTACGTTCTGTCCAATAATGGCACGTGCCACCAGTAATTTATTCTGATAAAGAAAATTTATTATAATTTATTAATTGTGCTACCAGTAAAATATTACAGTGCCCTCATTAAAAATTTAAAATAAATCGTTATCCAAAAAATTAGATAAATTATTTAAAATTTAAAATTTAAAATTTAAAATATCATCAGTGTCAAGATAATTAAAATTCAATTCAATTAAAATGATTAATTTATATTTTATAAAAATATAATACTATTATGTTATTTTTCTATTATCAATAATAATTTTTAATGTTTCAAATGAAGCCGTAAATTGTTAGTATGTTTTTTTTATTATTAATAAAATTAAACATTTTAATTTTTTTTTTATTTTAAAGTTATATATTGTGTCACAAGTGAATAATTTTTTTTAGATACAGGCTATATATATATATATATATAAAGAAAAACTAAAATTCTCAACACTCACCATATTTATTCTTTTTCAATGTTGTTTTATTTTGGTCCTGTGCTTTACAAATAAACCCTACTTTTGTTTACAAAGTAGTATTCCCTTCGTTCCATAACAAAGTATTTATTTTTCCATTTTAGTCCGTCCCATAACAAAGTATTCATTTCATTTTTTTTTAGTAATTGTACTATCTACTTAACATTACAAATATCCTTACAACTTACAATATATTACACAAATGTTATTACCTTTATATCACAGTCATTTTTACTTTATTTCTACTATATCCCAATACAATACTAATATTTTTAAAACTGCGTCCAAAAAGCAAATGAATATTTACTTATGGGACGGAGGGAGTATTAAACTAATTAAACAATCGTTTTATACAATATAACCGTTGAAAGATATATAATAATTCATTATAAGTACATAACTAAATTTGCAATTTTACATTCATTATATATAAGTATTAAACGAAGTGATTCATGCATGCATGCATATATATATATATATATATATGTATATATTATATATGGCTGCAACGACAGGTCCCGTGAAAGTACACACCATCAATTCACGGAATGCAACATATACTATAATTATTACTGTAATAAAAATAAAAAAAATAAAAAAATAAAAAAAAAAGAAAAGAAAAGAAAAAAACACTATTATGCATGGATGGTTTTTGTTCCACTCAATTCTCTACAACATTCTAGACCATTTTAATTTCCACTATATTCATGATTCTTCCTCAACATAAATTTTAATTTCCTAAACAAGATTATACTTATTATTTTATTTATTTTTATTTTTTCGTTTTTATATTTTTACATTATTAAACCTAGAATGTATTTTCATTATCCTTCTATATATTACACTCAATGCTTAGTTTTCTTTGGCTTCAATTTTTCTTGTTTAGGGCTAACCCCAAATAATATATATAACAATGACACTAAAAGTTATATAAAAAAAAAGGGAAAGAAAACAAGAATCTTGAAATTGTGATCATAGATAACATGTAAGTTCATGAAAAGTACTTCTTTTTTCCCCCTCTATGTAAATAATTATTAAAAAGTAAATTCAAAAGAAAGAATAGTGTCCACATACATAAGAGGATAAGTTTTGTCCACATAAACATGCATCAATCTTGGCCCAATATCTTTGTTCGAAACATTATAAATTAAAATGTTGTCTTGGTGATACCCTAATATCTCCCAAGTTCTTGATTCACTTTTCTTGTCCTAAGTCTCCAAATTGTCCAATTTTATTCAACCTTATAACTCTTCATCTTCATGCTTCTTCTTCTTCCTCCTCTCTTCTGCTCGAATTTCAATTTCAATCCCTTCTCAATATCCCTCAAACGGGCCATCGATCGATAGGTCACACAAACCCTAATTCCTACAAACTCGATCGACAACCCTAACATGGCGCCGAATCGAGACTCGACATTTCTCAAAGCATTCACGGCGAACACCAACGCCGCTCAAAAGCCCTCGAAGCTCTCAATGGATAGCCTCCAACGCACGATCTCCGACATCTCCTTCGAGCTCATCAGCCAAGAAACCCTAAATTCAGAAAAATCCAATAATAATAACAGCAACAACAACAGCCAACAACAACTAAACTCGTTGCCTCCGATATCGGAGGTCGAGGACGCCAAGTGCGAGTGCTGCGGAATGTCGGAGGAGTGCACGCCGCAGTACGTCAAGAAAGTTCGCGAAAAGTATTGCGGCAAGATGGTTTGCGGCTTGTGCTCGGAGGCCGTGAAAAACGAGATGGAGAAGAACGGCGGGAAGATGGAGGAGGCGGTGAACGCGCACGTGACGGCGTGCGCAAAGTTTAACCGGCTCGGGCGAGCGTATCCGGTGCTGTGCCAAGCGGAGGCAATGCGAGAAATTTTGAGGAAGAATAGGGCTAAGTCCCTAAGCCCTAGGGACAAGGGCGGCACTTATGTGCCCCCCAAGAAGGGCGGGATTGCGAGGAGCTCAAGCTGTATTCCGGCGATAACTAAGGATTTCAAAATGCAGAAGATGGTATAAAGATCGATCATATATATACGTATATGTGTATATGTATATGAATGATCATCTTGATGACAAATAAATTACTTAATTTGATCAAACATAGGTAGAAATGGGTAGTGAAGTTTGAATAATTGAGTAGTTTGTTTTTGTGTTTGATTATATATATATATAAAACTCATGTTTTAGGTTTTAAGGTTGGGTTTGTGTTGTAAGAGTTGTTTGTTTTGTTGTTAATTTTGTTTTTTGTTTTTTGTTTATTTGTGATGTTTCGATGATGTTTAGTATATTTATGTATACTTAATTGGTTAATAGAGAAGCAATGACATGGGGTTTATTTAATTTTTATTTCTTGATATATATATATATATATTCATAACTATATTTTCATAACTATATTAACTATATGTATTGAGTGAAGAATTATTTATTTTATGTACGTGAGAATCTGTAGCCGTAAAAGCTACTTTAGATAAGTTCGGGATTATATCCTTGAATATTGAGAAGTTGGGACGATTCGAAACAATTTTTTTGAGATTTCAATAAAAATAATGTACAATTCAACTATCCATTGCACTGAAGAATAATTTTGAAATTATATTAGTATAATTTTTTTTATTATTATTATTTTGCTTCATTATATCTTAGATTGTTCTAAACTTGAAATTAGAGATGATATCTACTTCTATTTACACCTTAATTAAGATACGAATCAAGTGAAGACTTAGATGAGGATTTATATTTGTTAAAAAGAAAAAAGAAAAAAAAAAAGAAAAGAATTCGAAGCCATAGTCGATGTTCAAGTCTAATGAACAAACTTTTCTTAATCATCGAACTCCTACCGGGTTTGTTTTGTGTTTTATTTTGAATTATTTTATTTTATTTTTTTAATTAGTGAAATATGAAAAATTGTATAGATAATATAAAAATAATAACTATGTGTAATATTTAATTCTTTTGAAGAAATGTGTCCAAATTTTTTGGAAAATAAACAAACCATACTACATATATATATATATATTTCGTTGGAGACTTTTATCACACACATATATATATATATATATCGTTTTTATGGGATCAATATTTCTTATACGAGGACATGCTTTACATATTACTTTGATTATTTGACTGAAGTAATTAAGTAGAAGTAGTCCTATATTTAATTTTGGTATTGTAACATATGCTGATAAGGTACTTTCAGAGTTGACATGATATAGACCAGTCATATATACTACAAAAAAAATATATCAATTTTGTAACAAGATTTTTTCGTCTCTAAATTCACTTTTTCCATTACTAATGACATACAAAATTAGAGAGGGAATTGTGTTAACTACGTGAACTTTAGGAACAAAATTTTGTTACTAATATATTACTTTTTTGTAGTGAAATGGACATTTCGAGCATCATATATCGATATGAATTTAATTTTATCAATTTATTAAAATATATTTTTATATATTTAACTTTTTTTTGGTATTGAAACTATCACATAGCTTACTCATTATAGTTATGTCAGCACATGTGACAATAATTCAATATCAAATAGGTTATTTCGATAATTATTAATTAGGTGAAAGGTTACTATACTCATTTGAACAAATCAATACTATATTTGATTTTTTTCCATTCAGCACCCGTAAAGCAATTATAAAATACAGATAAAATAAACAAATATCACATATTAAGTGATATAAAATCAAGTGATTTCTGTTTATACTTGTAGATGTACTGTACATAAATGTGTTATGGTTACGAGTCCACCCGAGACTACCAGGCTAAGAACATCTTAGACGCTTTGTGTGAGAGCATCCATCTCTTAGAGGACTTAAAAGTATTGTTATGGTATATAAGTTTGTTTCACCAAGTAGTTTTATAGTATATCTAAATTTGATTATCTAAAGTTTTTATTGATTTATTCATTTCACATTTTGAATGAAAAAAAAAAAAAAAATCAATTTAATCCTCGATTGTTTAAAATAAAGAATATATATAATATATTTTTTAGAAAAAAATAAGTAGATTAGAGCGAAGTTAGAATTTAGAGAGGAAGAAATATTGAGTTGGAGTTGGTCTTAAAGTATAATTTTAGAATATTTATAAAATATATAATTTTAAATTTATCTTTATTTGTATATGTACATATTATACTCTCTCTGTTTCACATTTTGTGTCCGATTTATTATAAATATAAGAATTTAAATAAAGTATAATTAGTAAATAAATAAAAATATATTAGTAAAAAATATTATTATATAATAAAACTAATTATAGATTAAGATAACTAAATAGTATAATTAAAATAAAAAATTTAAAATTATGAAATTTAAAATATCATTAAAGTGTATAATTATATTTACTCAAAAGGAAAAGACAAAGTGAGGCCAACGAAAATAGAAAATAGTGGGGAAAAAAATGTACGGTAATTATCTATTATTAACAAAATAATATCCCATTTCAAATAATAAAATCAAATTTTCAATAAAAGATTGAAAATATTAAAATGGCAAGAAGTTAATTTGGAATGTGATTAGCCTTTCCAACCAAACAACTTTTCTTGATCTTGAGCTGTATGATCCACTTTAGTTTTCCTTTCTGCATTTCAATAATGACATATACATCACTAATATATATATATATGTACAGGGGCGGACCGAGGTGGGGGCACCCCACCCTACCCCAGTGTGTATATATATATATATATATTTACTTATTTAAATTTATGTATTATTTTATTTAAATATATGTAATATAGATAAATGAATAAATAAAAAGATATTAAAAAATTGAATATCTTGTCTGAATAAAAAGGAATAAAAAAAGAAATATTTATAATACAGTGTATAACTATTATTATTGTTGTAGTTTGTTATTTGTATTTATTTTTTTCAAAATATAATAATTAGAATGATAATTTTTTCGAATAACAAATAAATATTTATAAATAAAATATACTTCATTTGTCTCAATACAATAGTCTTTGTTTATCATTTTTATCCGTCTCAAAACAATAGTCTCATTTTCATAAATAATCATATCACTGTAAAACTACCTTTACTTTTTCATTATTATCACACAATTGTCATTACTTTTTACCCTAATACACTCACAGAGGCAAAAAAGTTTTTTACCCGTACTTTTCACCCACTACCAATATAATATTAATATTTCTTAAATCTCGTGTCAGATACAATTCAAACTATAATTTTGGAACGAAGAGAGTATTATTTTATAAATTTCAAAATTAGCTCCCCCTTAAATATAATTCTAGGTCCGCGACTATATATATATATATATATATTCCTTAATTAGTGAAAAAAACAATTCGATATTCGATGATGATGATGATGTTTGAGAACAACAACACACTTTTGCTCAATGATAAATAGAAGATTCTGTACATAAATAAGAGTCTAACCACTAAAGTTTAAATTAGCTGACATCCCCATAAGAAACTCAAAATAAATAAATAAATAAAATAAAATAATAATTTATTTATTTATTTATTTTCACTATTTGTTTTTTGTGCATGCATGCATGCATCTCAAAAGATTCAGCAATTTCCTTTTATCCATTGGAAGGTTAAAAGATTGGATTCAGTTGTTTGGAATATAATCATGACTTCTTGGAGACCATGCAATAAAGAAAATGACCTTAGCTAGCTTCAATTGTTACTTACTTAATTTATGATCTTCTTTCTCTCGAAAAAAAAAAAAAAAAAAACCTTTTTCAATTTGATCTCTTTTAACTCTTTTTATGTCGGAAAAAAATAATCATCTTTTTAAGTCAAGAATATAATTGCAATTAATTTGATCTCCGGTAAAGAGATAGCTTATGTAGGAATGAAAGATTAACTCTTAATCGTGTTAAATTTTTCTCTAAGATAGATTGTCGTTTTCTATTTTCAGTTGTTCAGTAAAATTAAAATTTTCAAATTATGAGATAAACAATTTAGGACAAACACCATTAAGATGCAACCTAAGATATATACATAATTTGTGGTACGGTGGGGATGATTAGCCTCAATCAGTACATTAATTAGTGGGCCCAAAACACATCTAATTTTTTGTCAAATAAAGTATGATCTGGTGGTGTAAGATGAACTCGTAACCGAAAGATCATGGGTTTAAACCTTCGACGCCTCCACGTTACCTGCCACATGTGTGATTTCGAAATTTGGCAATATTCCTTCGTGTTATTTAAAAATTGTTAAATTCTTCACTGTATTTTTAAAAATTCTAAGGTTTCATTTACCTTTTGTGTCATTGTACTAACATTAAAAATATTCTTATAGTTGTATAATTTTTTGCACAAATGTCATTGTAATAGCATTATAAGACACCGATACAAATATTTTTGTCATTTTTTCTTGATTTGTATTATATTTTCATATAATAATTAATATTCAAAGATCAACACGCAAAAAGTAAATGGATCCTTAGTGCCAGATAGAAATAGTAATATTTTTTGGAGAATTTGGGTTGAGAAAATCTCCAATTTACTGTCAATATTGTTGTTGGTGGGTAGAAAATCTTAGTTTATTGCGAGAATGACCTAGACAGGGGACTACAAATTTTGAAATTATAAATCAAACTCTTTTTTCTTTTTTGTTGGGATGTCTACCTTTGCTGGATGAACCCGTTCTTGTTAACTTAGTATGTTTTATAGTAATTGTCTTATCCCTTTTGTTTGATTTATCATTTATCATGTTAAATTATATCTCGATTGGTTATAATATGACTTCATATACACATGCAAGTTGTATACTGCCTATAGTGATTGTGGTTGTGATCCCAAATATTCCCTCCGTCCAGCTAGAAAGTATACATGTTTCTATTTTGGGACGTTCAATTACAAAGTAAACATTCATTAAATATCTTACTTTTTTCACAAATACCCCTACTTTACATCACATCATTACTTTTACACCAAAAAGCAAGGCAAAAATGTCATTACACTACTTTTAACTACCCACTATAATTAAAATACTATTATTTCTTAAACACCGCGCCAAAAGTAATTGTATACTTTTTTTGTGGACGGAGGGAGTAATACATAAAAATTAATACGTGAACATCTACATGTGGTAGAGAGTGACGCGAGGTACGATTGAAAAAGAAAATTTTGTATCTTGAGAGATACAAACAGAGTAGTTCGAAAGGAGTATATGCTGCGTAGTATGAAATTGACTCGTTTCAATTATTCAAATGACGGTGGGAGTAAGCAACGGATTGAGATTTCAATATCGAAAATGGAGATGATAGATCGAATGGGTGACATGGGAAATTTGGATTTGGACAACTTGTCTGAACATATTACAACGAGGTTATGATAATATTGATTTGGTAAGAACACAACGGCGAGGGTGATAATGGAAAGAGAGAAATGTATATTTTATTTTTTATTTTTTTTATTTGGATGATGTGAGAAGATAAAGTGTAAGTATAGAGATTAAGTATAATTAATTATTTTCTATTTTAAAAATATTGCAGAATATTTGGGACGTACAGAGTACTATTATTTTTTCTAAAAGGAAAAAAATATTTTTTTATTTACTTTTTTTTAAATTTATGTATCCGATCAAATAAACATAATTTTAAACAATGAAGTGAATATTTTACCTATAAAAGAACAAATTAATATTTTAAATAAAAAATAAATATTTCGCAAATATATATATATATAAAAGTAAACAAAACTCGAATGAAAAAGAAAAAATCATAAGTTAAAAAGATAAATTAAACTATCAGTACAACGCAACATACAACATCATAAGGAAAAACGATGAATCAATCCTACACGATCGACCATCAAAATTCATACACTTCACGAAATGCAAACCTAATTAAGTCCGATGTTGTTCGATCTATACTACTATAGTTTTCATTATCAAACATTGACGAAGCTGGATCAAACAAACGACCAATTCACGAACATAAAGCACAGGCAATGCGCACCTTCTTCTTCATTCAGCACCTTCCACGCCACCGCCCTCTCGTAGGACACCGCCCGCCCCATGCTCGACAAGCAAATCCCGCCGAGGAGACACGCGTACCCCTGCCCACCCATCCACAATCAAAATTACAATATTGCCCTCATTGAAACACTATATATAATACTCTCTGTCCGTCTAAGAATTACATTTATTTTTTGCGTCATTATACTTAATTTTAAAAATATCTGTATATTTGTATAATTTTTTTTTACAACTGTCCTTCTATTAGTATTATAAGACACTGATGAAAGTATTTTTGTAATTTTTTCTTAATTTATATTACGTTTTGATATAATAATTAATATTTAAAGATCAATACGCAAAAGATAAATGGGATCACTAGAGCTGGACGAAAGTAGTATGTAACTAATGATACATTTCTCAGTTAACTTAAGTTTTAGGATGTAGATGATTAACACAAGTCAGCATGGTGCTGATTTGACCATATTAGGGTGACAAACTTATATTTATATATATCTCAGCATATGTTGTGTTATAAAATAAAATATATTATAAATATATATTGGTCATCCCTATAATATTTTTTTACCGGATGAGCAGGTGATCTATGCCCTAAGTTTTAAGTCAAATGGTTATTTAACTGTCATTATAAATACCTGTTGCATAATTTGTGGAAGCTCGGCAAACAACGCCTTTCTTCCGGCCTCATTGAATATCTTCTCCAAAGTGATGTCCTGAAGCGCGACGAGCGTCGTCTCCAACATGTCGAGCCCGGCCTGATTCGCGAATGTGAAAACCGGCAATGCCTGCATGGCGCAGCAAAATCGAAAACGTGTGAAATTTTTTATCACGTCGATTACGGCGAATTCGATAATCGGTGTAACATTTTTATTTTTTTTTACCTTCATCGAGCAGCAAAGCACGGCGTCAGAATGCTGCCAGAGCGATTTGAGAACGGAGTCGCTTCCTTCGGCCACCGGTTTGAGAAGCTCGACGCCTAAGAAAAATCTGGAGAAAAACAAAACCGATTAATTAGGTCCAATTGTTCGGGGATCGAGATTGTTTTTAAAAAAGGTTGTCTGTTCTTGACATCCACCTGTAGCTCTCGAAAATCCATCGGGCGAGCGTCTCCGCCTCCGGCGACCCCGGCGGCGGTTGCGCGGCGGCGTTAGGACATAGGCGAGAAGGAGACAGCGCCAGTGCGACGCGCTGAACGGACGAGATGATGCTTCGGACATACTGTCGAGCCATGGCAGCCACATTGTCCTGAAGATGCATCTCGTACGCGAATTGGAAGGCAATCGTCATCACTGACTTTGAGCTCCCAGAGCTCCTCGATTGATCGCCGGACGACCGATTTCCAGAAGGACCCACTTCGAGCGTCGACGCTAGATCGAGCGTACGGTTCGGGCTCGACGCGTCCTGCACCAGACCAACAATGAGTACTACATTGGAGAGTCATATGCATACATAGTTACAAAGAATTGTACTAATCTTACCACCTTCGAATCGAGCGGAATGATGCGAAAACCAGACGGGAGGAGAGGAGCGTCGTCGGAGAAAGAAGCGTCGATCGGAGCGAATACAAGCTCGGCACAGGTCCCGACAGCCGTTTCATCGACGCCGTTGCAAATCTGAGGAAATCGCGATGTAATAACGTATACAAACACTGGATAAATTTATCGAAAGTTCGAAACTGACTCACTTGCAAGAGGAATATGTCGCTAGGCATGATCACGTCATCTCGATACTGCGCCATGTTTTCGAGCCGAATCACTTCCATGAACTGTTCTTAGAAGGATTAGTCGAGGTTACGAAACACCGTAAACTTAGAATTTATTCGGTATCGATCGTGCGTAATAAAAACTTGCCTCTTCGTTCTCGATAGTGTGAGCCAACGGAAGAATGACCTGCCCGCCGTAGCACCCGACTCGGGACACTGGTAAATTGCATGAACCCGCTTTTACGGCGGCGGCGGAGTACGCGTCGATGCCGCTGTCAGCCCACTCCGATCTGTGCTCCCGAAGAAACCGGAGGAGTATAGCTGGAGGAACATTCTGCCGGAGTAGATGACGTTAAAACTTGTTTCGATCTATCGATGTTTTGAGACATCTATCCTTACTTGTAATAACATCGAAGCTTTCGCGCAGAGCACGCCGTTGCTAACGGACGTAAATCCGTTCGCGTAGGTCAGGAGCGATCCCATCAGCTTCCCCGGCGAAGAATTCACGTGGACGGTGACATCATCGATGCCGTCACTTTCGATCATCGTCCAGCCTTCGTCCGAGAATCCGTTGACGGCATCGTTGAAGCCTCTGTAGGTCGATACATTACATCAATAATGAGCGATGAACGATCAAATAATTAATGATCTTATTAAATGCACCTGCTCAATCGTTGTCCAAGAGCGCGCAAAGCTGCCGGGCGTCGCCCCCAGCCAGAGACATTAGGCTGAGTAACTTCTTGCGAAATTTGCCTCAATTGCCGCAATGCCTAACGGAAAATTCGATTAGTACATTGTAATAACTTCGATTTTTGCGGAATATGATTAGATCAATGGCCATACCGCTAAAGTTGTCCTCTGGGCGAGGAGCGTCGAGGATTCATACAAAGGGCGCAGCACTTCGGGCACGCTCCAAGGCTGCGATAACGCCGAATTATTAGGACATCGCGAAAACAGAGGAATTTTGAAAACAGGGGAAGTTATTATTACCTCTAAATCAATGTGATCGACGATATGAATAATCGATCCGCCGCCTTCGCAGGGCCTAATTAAGTATCCGCTCGGCAGCATTTCGCCGCGGACAAAATTCTGCACAGGCGGCATGCTCGGACCGTTTTGGGTGTTGTTTAAGGATCTTTCGCATACGACGAGGCTGCCGTCTTCTGTCACAGAGGTGTAGCGGAGCAGCCAGAAGTCGCGCGCCGGCGCCAAGGTTGTCGGAGCGTAGAGCTGAAATGAAACGTTAATTTTTTATTACAATTTGGAACAACAACATAATCCTTCGAAATTATGACAAGAAACTAAACCTGCATATATAGGAGCTCGATTGTCCCGCCGTTGCCGGTGGAGAGGACGTTCAGCACGTCGACGGCGCGGCAGTCGCGGTACCATGAAGGGCGGTCTTTGAGGATTTCAGCAACCTGTGTAGGATCGAAGAATTGGATTGTAATAAATGAACAAATCGAATTAGACGAGAACTAAGAAGGAAGAATAGAGTTAGCTCACGCGCGTGGGTTCGAGGCCGACAAGGCCGCAAGCACGCGACGCGACGCCGGTGCAACCGTATGAGATAGCGATGATTCCAATGGAATCCGGACCAGGCTGCAATTCGGACAACATTAATTTATTGATTAAGGAGAAAATTAATGTCGGATTCGTGGAAGAAGAAGGCGTGCAGTGTGTAGTACCTTCATCCCGGGCATTTGGACCCACTCGACAGCGGTTCCAGTGGCCTTCGATAGAAACTCTGTTAAAGTCTCCTCTGCAATGGACAAAAGCCTGTAGGGAAGAAGACGACGGCTCAGACAAACATCAGAGGTTAATTAATTGCTTTAATTTCGTACCCTGCAGGGCTGGCATCCCTAGGGGGATGTTGAGGAGTCAAGTGGTGCTGCTGGCCGCTCGTCACCACCGATTCGCAGCTGTTGTCGGTGGTTGTCTGAAGCGTCGCCTGCGACAAAACCTAACCTCAGTATACTTCAGATTATCGATCGATTGATTGATTGATGATTATGGTAATTGTTCTTACATTCTGGGTGTGCTGTCGGAAATAGCTGTTCTCGTACACCAACTGCGACACCTGCTTCTGGAGCCGATCGTTTTCCTCCATCAACAGCTTGTTCATGGCGGTTAATTTTCGATTCACTGCTTGTAGCCGCGACGCCTCTTTGCGTTGCTTCTCTCTGCATCTGTTCGAATTTCGTAGAATATCGTGTAATGAAATCAGAATCTGTGCGAAACCTAGCTCCTCGATCGATCGGATCTCGATCGAAACCCTAATTAATCCCCAAATTCCAAAATCTCATGAAATTTTGAAAAATTAATACATACATACATACCTTCTGTTTTGAAACCAGACTTTGATCTGCTTAGGCTCGATGTTGGAGAGGATCGGACATTCTCGGATGAGCTGCTGGCGGCGGAGAGAACTTGGTTTAGGACAGTCGTGGTAGAGCCTCTCCAGAGCTTCGACCTGCTCGGGAGTGTATCTCACGTACTTGCCGTTGTCTATATTCCCCACCATTTTGCTGCTGCTGCTGTCTTTGCAGGATGAGGTCACCGCCATCATACCTTAATTCAATCAAACCACCATTAATACAAAAAAAAAAAAAATGAAAGATAAGGGACGATGATGTTATGATATGATCGAATCGGAATAATTAAAACCTCGAAGCTAATCAACCCATCAGCAATCAATACTACAGAAGTAATTCAAGGCTCAGATCTTCATCTCTTACAAGTATTCTTATATAGATATATACACGTATATATGTATGTATCATGTATGTATATGTGTGTGATGATGATAAGAATATCTGATTCTCATGCGGCTTCTAATTAACTCAAGTTTCTTGAAATTTCCACAAAATCTTCAAATTCAAGAATTAGACCTCAAAGAACCCACCCTAATTTTCTCTCTCTCTCTCTCTCTCTCTCTCTATAATTTTCTCACTCTCTCTCTCACACAGATATGCACAGAATTAAACACACACACACACTAGTATGTATGTATATACCTGTGGGTGGGGTTTCTGGAAGAGGGTAGCTAGGTAGCTAATAACGTCGTGTTTCTTCAAAAGCACACAGCGTGAAGCACGAAACCCAGATCTTCCATAATCTGTCGATCACAAAACAAACAAACAAACCCTATTCTTCTCTCCCTCTCTCTAAAAATATCCTTTCAATTAATTCTTCCAAGAAACCCTAAAGATCTTACTCAATATATGCAAACAGCTCTCCAAGATTTCACGGGCAAAGGGCAGATTTTATTTATTTATTTGATGTGGGAGTGCGCGCCTCTCTCTTGTCTGTGTTCTAGAGAGAGAAAAAAAAAGAAAAAAAGAAAGAGAGATGATGAATATGGGGGGAAGTGAAAATCATCAGTTCGGATGTTCTTTTATTTTATTTTTTATTTATTTATTTTTTGGTGCTGGCTTTGCTTTCCGCTGTTGCTGTTTTCTTTTTGTGCTTTAGCCCCCACTTAAACTTTATTTTATTTTATTTTATTTTATATATTTAAGTGGGTTGGTTTTCTTTTTTTCCCAAATTTTGTTAATTAATTAATTAAGTGGGGTTTGGTTTAATTTCTTTATTAAACTTGTTGCAAGAACGGCTGTTTGTCCTCTCGGAATTCAATGATTTTGTAATGTTACCGATTAATTAATATCCTGGGAAAATCCACACCGTCCACTCCATATATCATCATCGGACGGCGTGGATGCAATGTTTATATATATATATATATATATATAACATCATTATTATCAAAATAATTATAAATTAAATCAAAAAAAAAAAAAAACAAACAAAAGGGGCTGGGCAGATCCCATTTGTAGGTGGGTTCTGGCTTACGTTAATTGATAGATACAGTGACACTCCTACCTTCCATTTTAGCATTTATTTGTCTCGTTTGAGTTCTTGGAAGGTCCCGGGACCAAGACCACACCCGACTCTAATACAAATGGTTCTGGCTTCGGGAGGTCCCGGGAGCCTCCAAGAAAATCATTGAATTTAAAGGAGAAGGAATTAGGTAGGGGTGGGGTGGGGGGTGGGGTGGGGTAAAAATGAAGGAAAGACAGAATAATGAGATGGGAATGCATGCGTCTGTCTCTCTGTATGTATATATATATTTGATTGTATGTATAGATAAATTTGTTTTGTATAAACTTTTGTTGTTTTCCCCATCATCATATCATATCATTGCTGATTATATATATATATATATATATATTTCATTGCAGTAGAAACATTCTGTTTGTCTGACATGACATTAACAAGATATATCATCTCTGTGTCTATTTCATTTTTCATTTTTATTATTATTATTATTATTATTATTATTATTATTATTATTTTGTAATTGTTTCATTAGATGCCCTTTCGAGGCATGCATAACTCCACATTGGCTTGCCTACTCTTTTGTGTAAATTTTATATATTTGTCGGATCCAAAATGACCGTCTCACCTACTTTGATGTCATCTCGAATGTTAAATGATCGTCTCACTTGATAGCTCGAACTATTAGAGAAGCGCAGTTATTAATAATATTCCCAACAATATTTATCCCCTCTTTTTGTAAAATATATATATAAAATATACTTAAAACATTATTGGAATTTCAACAAATATAAAACAAGATAGCAGTAGTAACTAGTATGTGTTAATTTTAAGTTTAATGTAAAGACGTTATTTTATGATCATAGTTATTAAATTCTAAAATAAATACTCCCTCCGTCCCGTAACAAAATATCTATTTTTTCATTTAGTCCGTCCCATAACATAGCATTTATTTCTTTTTTCTTTTAGTAAGTGTACTAACTACTTAACATTACAAATATTCTTACAACTTACAATATATTACACAAATGTCATTACCTTTATATCACACATAATAAGGTTATTTTACTCATTTATACTTTATTCATACTATATCCCAATATAATACTAATATTTCTAACACTACATGCAAAAAACAAATAAATATTTAGTTCCGGGACGAAGAAAATATATTAATTGCAGCGAATCTAAAATAATAAAATAGATATATTAATTTAGATTTAATCATTGAGTTAGACGGAATTTGATTCACTTTCAAATTACATCAACAATCATTAAATATATATATATGGTTTATTTGTTTGTTTGTTTTTAAATAAAAAAATATATTATATAAATAACATATCAAAATATTATTTAAATAAAAAATTTTAATCAAATTAAACCCCAAATTTTAAAATCCAAATCAAACAAGCCCATAGTTGATAAATAAACTAGAGAAGACAATAAAATTACAATAACTATATGCCAAATTTGAACTACTGTGTATATATATTTTCAAGAAAAGATAAGGGTTTTACTTGTCAGTGTCTTCCAAATAGTTTCTTGTACCATGCTATATTATACTCTCTCCGTCTCAAACATAATGCAATATTTCTTTTTCGATATATTCCAAATATTCTACAATATTTTTAAAATAGAAAATAATTAATTATATTTGTTAGAAATTTTGGGAAAAAATAATGAGATTGTCTTATTATCGTCAAAATAAGGAGCCTATATATAGACCATACAAAATAGACTCGATAGATTCAAATCTGAGTAATCTAATCTATGAATAAGATCAAATCTAGATATAAATCTACTAAATCTGAATATCTAAAATATCTCAACAATACTTAATCTCTATTCCACACTTTATCCCCTCACATCATCCAAATAAAAAAATAAAATATATATTTTTCTCTCAATCACATCACCTAATTTCTAAATTATCATACTTAATACTATTCGCCTAAAAACTCGCGTCGAAAGCAAATATTGCACTGTGGGGACGGAGGGAGTAATTCATTTCTCTCAAATAATATATATTGTATTCAACATAAACTCACAATAAATGTGTGGTTTTATTTTTATTTTTTCAAGTCAATGGAGGTTCCTATAAGTGACTGCCATCTTTAAACTGTAGTGAAGGCATGTCGTGTCGTGTCTAGTTTGGTTTGGTTTAGTCTGGTCTTGCCACTAAAATAAATTTTGAAAATTCGAACTTACATATGATCAATTGAAGTGGATATATCGCATATATATATATATATATATAATTAATTTATTTATTAACATATATATATATAATAATAATATATACTCCATGGCAACGGCAGTGGCAGACCAATTCAAGTGGCTACACACACCAACGTAGCCATCCATATCTTTCCCCTCTCTCTCTCTCTCCTCTTTCTCTCTCTCTACGTTTATTTTTACCATTTCCAACCACTCAATCTTAGACTCATTTCATTTCATACCACAATTCTTTTCCACTACAAATCAATAATAAAAATAAATAATAAACACATCAAACCCCCCCCCCCCAACCCCCTCTCTCTCTCTCTATATATATATATGTATCTGTATGTATAAAAGGATAAGATCTGAAGAAAAGTGCATGCATGTTTGCTTGCGCATGAATAAACAGAGAGTCTTATTAAAAGGGAAATCCTGAAATGATCATATATATATATATATATATTTATTTATTTAAAAAATTAGAAAAAATACAAAAATACAAAAAAAATAATAATAAATAAATAAGAATAGCGTGCAATTATGAAAAGAAGAAATAAAGGGTGGGGGGAACAGACAGACAGAGGGACAGACAGGCAGGCGTCCCAAAAATACGCGTGGAGTGTGGTTAACAAAGTTGGACCGGCCGGTCCGGATCCGACCGGATCAGAACCGTACCGTATCGTATCTGTGTGGACCCGCACGCGTGACCGCTTCCCATTGGCCTGCTGCTGCCACGCTGTCCCTTTACGTACTTTTAGTGCTCCGCGCCCCCACCATACTACGTTTTTTATTTTTCACCCCCACGCTAACACCTTTATTTTTGTGAAATTACTTATTTGCCCTTGGGTGGTTCGTGGGATCAGGGGTAGTGGATGGAATTGTGGATGATTGACCGATGATGTATGAAGTGGATGTATTTATGTATGTATATACGAATGAATACGGCGCCTTGGAATTATATTATTACTATTATATTTGTATTTTGTCGTTTTGTATGTAATGAATTGTATATACTCTCCTCTCTCGCTCACTCTAACGTATTTTTTTGAATTTTGCATTAAATTAAAAAATAATCGTATTATAATAACCAATAAAATTATATAAGTTTGGATAAATTATATAACAGCCCCTTATATTTTAGTAAAAATACATAAAATATTTTATATTTTATTTATTGCGTGAAATTCCTTGTGTTAGAGTAAAAATTGCATGAAACATCATCATTGTCCAAAACTGATATTTGGTTCTGAACAAAGACTTAAATTACGCAAGTTTTATACTAATAAAAAAATATAAAAGATCTTAAATAATTTTTTTGAATAAAATAAATAAATAAATAATTGATCAATCATTTGTTTTTATAGTTTTTATAAAAATCATATAGCAATTTGTCTCCGAAAACTATAAAACGAAGGATTAATCAATTATTTATTTATTTAATTTATTCAAATAAATTATGTAAGATATTTTACGTTTTTCATTTGTATAAAACTCACGTAATTTAAGCCTTTATTTAAAATCAAATATCAGTTTTGAACAGTGAGAGTGTTTGGTGCAAAATTTACATTAACATTGGGGGATTTTACACAATAAATAAGACAAAAGGTGTTTTCTGCATTTTTACTAAAACACAATGGAGTTATATAATTTACCCTATAAATTTTAATATTTTTGTCATTTAATTTTATGTATAAATTAATTATATACATTATGTTTACAATTTAAGTTAAAAATATTTGATATTAATATATAATTACTTTTACTAAAACAAAAAATATATATTTCAGTAGAATAAATGAGATAAAATTGTACATTGAGGAGCTTATAATTAATTATTACTTCTTTTATCTCAATTAAAAATATTTTTTTAATAAATTAAAAAATAATATTATTTTATTGATCTGTAAAAACATATAAAATACTATTAATATTTTTATCCTTTGAATGACAAATAAAAGAAATATTTTTCTAAAAATTATGAATATTTTAATATTTATAAATAAATCATTTTTAATATATGTAAAATGAATACAATGAAATAAACAAAAATGTTAAAATGAATATATTGAGGGGGGTTGTATAAAGCTTTCTTGCTCTGTTACAAATTAAATATAACTATTTTGTCATATTTTGGTTCTTTAAAAATAAAATATTTAATTTTTGATTTAATATACGTAAATTTTACTATACATATAAATACCATCCAAATCATATTTATTTACAATAATATTATTATTATTGGAGTGCAAATTCGAATTCTATATTAAAATATTTGAAGAAAAAATTTACCTCTTA